GATTTCCCCGTTGGTTAAAAGGTTTGACTTTGATCATTGTTTTCTTTGTCGAAGAACCAAAGATCGCAGTTACCGGTTTTGTTTTCTTTTTAGCAGGTTTCCACAGTCTGTTGAAGATCTTTATGTTCTAACTCGAAGCAAATTGTTTATAGAATTGTGTTAGTTATGTTTTCCTCATCTATATTTACATAGGTATATTTTTTTTACTATTATTAAAAAATGTGCTAAATTTGGGGATGATAAAAATTGCACGTCACTTACAGTTTTTTCCTCTTGAGCTGCTGAAATCACTAGTCACTTTATGCATGCCATGAGATAATATTTTTACTACATAAAATTTGTTGCTAGCTCTTTCACTATGAGAAATCATGTCATGTGAGTTTGCTGGGAAGTAGAGGAGGAAGCATTAATCCATATTTATATTTATTTACTCTTTCCATATGACAAATCTATCGTTTGTGTTTCCAAGATTTTGACGTATTGTTTCGGATGTGGTTCACTTTTGTTTTGTTTTTTTTATTTGTTTGATTGATTGAAAGAATGTTATAACCCATAAAGTATGTGTCTTTATTTGGTCATTAAAATTCACGCTGCTAACGTTTACTCTTATTTGTTTTTGTGAATTCCTCTCAGGTCCATTTTGGGACTCCCTCTTCCTTCTTGCATCCTTCGTTAGAGCCACGGAGGCTTAAACATTTATTCTTGAGTCATCCAGCCCTTCTAAATGGGGTACAGGTTGAAAGTAGTAAAGTGTTACTGAAAATAATTTTTTTAGCCCCTGAAAAGTCCAAAAAACAGGTAGATATACAGGTGGTATACACCTGTATACAACTCTAATATACATTAAACAGTTAGAAAACGGTCCTATGCAGGAGGAAAAGCAAAAATACAAAGTTTTGGATGCAATTACAGGCTCGGGAGTACAAATATCAGCAATATACATAGAGTATACATCGAATATACACTTAAAGTGTATCATGACTTTGGAAAGAAAACAGGCCCAAAGGCCCCTAAAAATTGCAGCAGCAGAATTTGGGCCAAAGAGCCTAATTTGAAATTTCCTTCCCTTTTTATTTATTTATCATAATATTTGACTAACATTTATGTCACTTTGGTTTGATTTAATTAATCTCCTACGATAGTCATTCCTCTTATTTTTATATATATTCAAAATTTATGTACGTATACATATATATAATTTTACTCAGTTTTTTATTTTACTTCGACATCTTTGTCAACACTTAACTTTATCCCTTTAGATCATTCCCTTTATTTACTTCCGCTTAAAAAATAATCAATTTAAAAAATGATAAATATAAGTAAATAAATAAGTAAAAACTAAATTTTCTTTACTTGGTAAAAGTTGAAAACTATTTAAAAGTTCTTTTAGTCAAATTGCCAGTCAACCGCGAGTTAGCGGGCCTTTCGAGGGCCTTACACCTTCTCCGAATGTACATTTGAACTTCGAACCCTTTTCAATCGATTTTTATCTGTTTTTAATCTTTTGGAAAATAATTTGATGTTTCTCTTGATTTCTTGCTAAAAATCAAGTGGCGACTCTATTAATTTGGAAAGTCGATTTCTCTTAAATCATAAGAGTAATCGATTTTTCGAAACTTAATCATTTTTTATTTTCCTATATTTTTTTCGTAAAACATGACTGCAAGGACATCTTTGAATCAAAGTATTGACGACAAGGGCAATTTTGAGCCAACTATAAATTGAAGACATTTTTGTTCCTTTCTCATAGTTTAATAGCATTTTCGGCCCTTTTTCCTATGTAAAAATTGCATTTGTTTTTTAACTTCTATATATGATATACTTTTAACAATTGTGTTTTACAATTTACTTGTGATATATATCCAAATTGCTATTATAACATTGATTGTGTTTCTAATAATTGACATAACCGTGTTGTTTCGATTGAGTTACAGTTTTTCAAAATGAAAACCCAAAAAACCAAATGCACATCCTGTCACATCCGGGGAGCACCCCCTAGATGTAACGGGTGTCGTCGAAGAAGAAGAGGACTAAGACTAACCTCTTAACATACGTCATTACATTTCATAGGTAAAAAACACAGAATATTTAAAACTTTTCATTTATACTACTTCATGAGGTCTTTATAGACATCTCACTTACACATAATATATTAGTAGTGTGTATACATAAACTCTTCTTATAGGAAGAATACATAGTCTTATAGTAAGTCAATTCAAGTCAACATGCACACCAACATAATTGAGCACATAACCAAGACAACTCATTCATCAAGTTATAATATCAACAAATATGTATAAGAGTTCATAACATCATAACAAAAGCAAGACAATCACTCATACACCCCTATCAAGTTCATTAGTGCAATGGTCAAGTAAGGTCCCATAACCTCACTCAACCAACTAAACTCAACATGAACCATAAGATTTGCCCAACTTCAAATATTATATCATTAAGAGTAAACATCATCATATTTAAGCTATAGAAACCAACCACGTATTAATAAGTGAAACCAACATCACATAGTGTCATTAACATATGAGATCAACATATATATATATATATATATATATATATATATATATATATATCATTTACGTTAATGAGCATGTAATCATATATGAACATCCTCCTAAGACTTCCTTCAAGGATAACTAGTACAATGTATAGGTAGAGTCTCATACCCCTACCTAGATTTAGTCAAACCCCTCAAGTCATCCTAGTTAGAGTGAACTTTATTACTTCATTTTATTTTCGAGAACATCTTGCCATAACTGACATAGACAACATGAACCAATGTGGAATCCGGTGTCATGGAACCCTACACCAAAGGAAGGTGACCTACTTGCCAAGGTAGTACCAAAACATGAACATATCATCTATGTGGATCCACTAGCTACTATTCCTATCGGGGCAACATAGTTCAAGAACTAGGAGATATAGTTTGGGACCCTCTTTATGCTATATGCATTATAGTCTCCAATCTCTCGAGTACACCTTCCCTATGTGGGAAGGGACACTCCTCACTCTGGTTCACTCGGTGCTAAGCTAGAGTCCCTTTTGAAATGTCTTTCATTAATAATCATAACTTAGTTTAGGTCATAGGGTCTACCCCTTATATAGTCATAGTCATAGCTCAATAGGAATTGCATGAGAACACTTTTCATTACAACCCTGATATGTGAGATCAGCACATTAACATCATCATATCATAGTAAGACATATATGTACTTCATCACCGACCTTATATCAATGCATCTTAAGCATAATCTCACAATCACATAATTCAAGATATTTTAATTCAACATCATTATAACCATAATTAATCTTATCATAAGGTATACTTCAATATAACTTCATCACTAACCACAAGTAATCATAATTGAAGTGAAAAATTGAAATCACAAGACTTATCCCAATCTCCTTTCCAAGCCATCATCATGATCTTACCATCAACCATCCAATTCAACTCAACATTGGGTGTAATATCATCACTCAGTAGTAATTAACACAATAATGAAGTAAATTGAATCACTACACAACAATTCTTCTTTAGTTCATAGCCTAGGGTTAGGAACTTAAGTCAAATTGATGATTTGCTTCACAACCTAGCTTAATTAATCAAGAACTAGCATAATTGGATTACAATACATCATAACATCATAATTATTTACAGAAATCATAAACATAGTCAATTAGAGGATCAATCTAAAACTCTTCTTTTTGAAATCAATTTGAAGGAACCCTTTGGGGAAATAATCCCAAAGGTGAAAGAATCTCAGACCTTACTAATTAAAAACTTGATCCTTTGAAGCCCTAGAAACCTCATTTGCTTGGTCTTTAATGGAGTTTCTTTGGGAGAGAGAAAGAAGAGAGAAGGAAGAGCAATTGGGTTTGGGGAATTATGAGAGTTAGTTTTAGTTAAATTAGGTTTGGGGTATTTATAGAAATCATTAGCTAACTTAATTAGCCCCCCTTAACCCCTAACTAATTAAATAACACCTTAATTAATTAATTAATTAATTTAACTAACCTAAAAACATGGCAGCAACCAGTGACCTAACCTACGAGACCCCGACTGACAGGCTGTAGGTTAGTCTACGCAATTGCCCCCTTCCGTCATGTACACCCGATGTTCGTGTCAGAGACTGGTCCAAATGGACCATTAGCCAAAATGGATAAGTGTTGATCGACGGAGGCAATCGACGCCCGTCTATTGACCTACGCCTCGTCACTCGCAGCACGTAGGTAGACACTGCCTCCATGACAACTTTTGGCCAAATTGGAAGGGTCCTCCTCTAGGACCCTTTGGTTGGTCCTTGGGGAGTCGTACCCGGGTGTTTCAACTATAAACTAACTCTATTACGTGTTAGACACCTTTCCACCAAATTTCATCATTTTCCGACTCTTAAAACCTTGTCAAATAGGCTAAGACATACTAGCACCCCTTTAAACTAGTTTCGGACGTCATGGATGTTCCTTGACGATTTGATTCTAAAACTTCCTGAATGACTTGTTTACATTATTATTGACTTAAAATTAGTGTTACAACTCTTAAACTCTCATGTTATGCTCTAGATTAGCTTTAGACTTGCGGAGTATTACACACCCCTAAAATATACAAATGCGCAAACGAAATTTATAAACTGCAACCTCCATAGCACGAAACTATAGCTATAGAACGAAATTATTAAAACTATGTTATAAGACCTTATTATGTCTATTATCTTTGTTATTTATTAAACTTTGTAAAAGTAAAAGCATCACTTAATTGTAACGACATCATGAAAAAAATAAGAATATGACTCAACAAAGAGCATCTTATATATATATATATATATATATATATATATATATATATATATATATATATAAAGAGAGAGAGAGAGAGAGAGAGAGAGATGACGGATGTCTACAGACCGTTAATATTATTTGGTTAAATAAAAAAAGTAACCAGTGTATATTTGCATTTAAAAAAATGGTCCTTTTGAACTCCAGAGTTCTTTCTACATCACGTATTTTCTCATTTGAATGCAAATCTGATGCTTCGATTTCATAAGTTAAGTCGGATACAACAGTTGCTAACCAAACAAGTCATACAACCCTAATTGGTTGCATAATTTAACCCTAACATAATGCGTCAGTGACAACTTTTTACAAAATAAACATGTACTGCCTTGGGGTTACCCACATATAAAGATTACTTTGTGTACCACCAGCAACTGGTGTAAAACTCACTCAAGTAACAACTTCAATTAACTATTGTACATCTACTTAGTATACAAATTATACAAGTACTCTCATGAAACACCAGGGTCGGATGATATCATAAGGCATCAATTATGATGGGATTCACTTGAACCAGAATCAACTTCATAAATATCGAATAATGAACTTCCTACTGAATCTTGATGCTAGACTGTAGACCAGCTTGAACTTTGTTTGAGAAATGTGATTCAAGCCTGTAAGAAGGATATAATTAGAAAAATTAATTATGGAAAAGAAGAAGAGAGCATTAAAGAGCAATACACTTGCCTGGTTGAACATTTGTAGTAAATGGTCTCAGGAGAGTTATAGGTGCGAGCGTTCGCAAACATCCTTCTCACATCCGCCAAAAACATATCAAATGTCACATAATATAACTCCGACTCAACCCGCTTTGACATTGTTTTTAAATCTGCATTGTACACAACCATAACAAATATTCACAAATTAATTATCAATGAAATTAAAAGAAGGGTCCAAAGGGGAAAAGAATCTTAATGTAGATCAGAGATTGCATGGGACAAGCAGACACCAAAACCAAAGGAACAGTTCATGGACTCTACATACATGTATAATATCAACCCCCCAACCCCCACAACAAGAAAAAAAAAGAGGGGATGTTTTTCATCTCTTAAAAGTTCCAAACTCTGATTTGGTCTTACCTTTCACATGGTTAAGTACAGAGAAAGAAAAATAGAAAAAGTCATACTGGAAATATCCATTCATAACATGTGTGTATGTGCTGAAAGAATGAAAATAAACTTGGACAAAATTGTGTCTCTAACATTTGTCCCCAAGAGCCTCCACGGTTATAGGACCTTCTGGAAATATTTCCATGCTTTAGCAACAACAGAAAGTGTTCAAATTCTTACAAATATACATAAATATAATAAGTGGCTTAATTTACTCATATTGTAATTAGATAGTAACTTCCTTTCCTCTTTAGAACATGCAAATATATTTATTTAAACCCCAATAATTTGGGTGAATATTCAAGGTTGAATTCTCAGTTCATTTCTCTTCCAGTTCACATATCAGATTCTTTGAGGAACGCTATCAAAAGACTACAAGGATTTAGCAAGATTCAAAATGTATCGTCAAATATTCAATATGATTTCATAACAAATTCTAGCCAACTAAAATGATTTTATGATCAATCCAGAGATCATTTTGATTCCATCAGTAATGAGGATTCGGAATATCCCACATTGATAAATCAAAGAAAGATTCAACAACGAAAAGAAAGATCGATTCTTTGGGTTCTTTCCTTTCTTCAAAAGGAACGAAAAGAGATAGAATCGGACCAATTCCCAAAATGCCTTTCTGGATACTCAAATATTCAATATGATTTCATAACAAATTCTAGCCAACTAAAATGATTTTATGATCAATCCAGAGATCATTTTGATTCCATCAGTAATGAGGATTCGGAATATCCCACATTGATAAATCAAAGAAAGATTCAACAACGAAAAGAAAGATCGATTCTTTGGGTTCTTTCCTTTCTTCAAAAGGAACGAAAAGAGATAGAATCGGACCAATTCCCAAAATGCCTTTCTGGATACTCCTTAATGTCCCATCTATTCCAGGAACGTGAGAAGCAGATGATTAATCATCTATTTTTGGAAAAATCAAAGCAAGAACCGTGCTTTCAATTTTCTCTGATAGATGGTCAGAACTTCATTTGGGTTTGAATCCCGAAAAGAGGTCCACTAGAGATCAGAAATTGTTGAAGAAACAACAAAATATTTCTTGTTCCTTTTCCAACCTTGTTAAGGTCACCAATATATTGGAAGAGAATTTTGTATGAAAAATTTTCAGCAACTTTCACGGCCGTATCAGAATAGGATTGTATCCCGACATGGAGGAGGATTGTAATTTGTGGTCTATAAATAGAGCTCAGTGTAATAATTAGTTTACGTATCTTATTAATGTTTTGAGACTTTATTTCTCACATGGTACCAGAGCTACAGTGAGAAATCCCGGGGACAAAAAAGCCAATCACTGCATATTTTTCCGATGACTTTTGGATATGCCCAGTGTCATGTCTCTTGTCGCCAGTATTTTACGATAAGTAAAACTACCAAAAGGTGCAGCAACTTCTAGCGACCAAACCCCAAAAATATATCCCGGCAGAAACCCAGCAATGCAACCTCACGCACTTGTTAATTATATGACATCGGAAAAATCTGAAACACACATCAGCGTGGTGAGCAGTTTCCAACCACATTCCAGATCAGTTTTTTTCCTGTTGGATTCGCCCATTGATTCCAAGCCGAGCCGAACTAACTTCTTCCAAGTTCCAATCAATTTTTATTTTTGTGAGATGTCCAACAGCTTCTCGGGACAGATCTTGTTACTTGGAAGGTAGCTAATAGCTTCCAGCAGTAGATCTGGTTCCTTGAAGTGTTTTGAGCCAGATTTGTCAGCTTGTAAACTAACGGGGATCAGAACCCTAATCTGGACTCCATTGACATTCTTCAAGCAATCTCTTTGATTTGTGTCATCTCTACCTAGGTGAAAATACTTGTTAAGTATACGGTTCTCGTTAACAATACGATTCTCTGCTACCTAGAGGTAGTTCTTGTAATAGGTTTAGACACTCGTGAAATATATGATTCTCTCCATGCTCACCACCTAAGAATACTCGTGTTGCTCAGACTAACAATGCAGGTGAATTTATTTATCTGAAGGATAATATAATGAGTTCCTTTAGTATCGAGCAAGTACACATACAACTCCACGAGTAGCCTCAGTAGCTCAGCATGATACTTCTGCTGATGGTAATCTTTTTGCTTCATAGTCTAATACCCTTGTACTGTGGGTCAAGGACTCTGATGCTTTCTGATCATGTTTTTGGTGATAACTGATAACTCACTTTTGCCAAATAACGTTTATTCACAATCTCTTCTCATTGTTACATCAGCGAACGGGCCCAAAATATAGCAAAGGGAGTTGGACAAGCTAACCCCCTATTCTCAGTCACTCTAAACATTGTTCTTTAGGTTTCTGGTTGTCCTTTAAATAGTGCATCTGCTAGCCGTTTAATGCCCTAAATTGTGCCATAATATTTCTTGATGATTCTTTACTCATATAAGACAGACGATTGACACAAGGCATGAATCACAAGGCCTTACTATCTTACTACTACTAATTATTCCACAGCATCCCATGTTACAACGTTACAGGTCATCCAGACCTAACTCATGCATTTGGGACATCCAAATTTATTCGAGCTACAGAAGATGGCGTTTAGTTAGTCTAGATTATCGACATTACATTGTAAGTCGTGTCAACTTGAAAAAGACACCTGTACTACCTTTACTATCTTACTACTTCTATTTATTCCAGAACATGCCATGTAACAATGCTACAGATCCCAGACCTCATAAGCATTTGGGACATCTAAATCTATTCAAGTTACGGTCATCAAAAAAAATTATTCAGGCTACAGAAGATGGCATTTAATTAGTCTAGTCTATCCACATTATGCTGTGATCGTGTCAACTTGAAAAAGACACATGCACTACCTTTCCACGTAGTGTTGCGAGTGTGTAGAGTTAATTTTTCACTAGTTTATTCGGATAGTTGGGGTCCTAGTTGAGTTGGTTCAACCTAACAATTTTAGTTATTTTGTCAATTCATTATTGATATTCAAAGATGTACTTAAATTTTCTTAATGAAAGATTGTTCGAACTTACTTTCTATATTCAGAGGTTTTGTGCTTAAGTACAAAATCATTTTTGGTGTTTCTATTCATATTTTTTCGTGGTGATAATGTCTTACAATACTTATCCTCCTAGTTTGAGCATCTGTTGACTCACCAAGGAATTAGTCATGAAACATCTGGTATGTACACCCCTCAACAGAAGGGGTAGCAGAGACGAAGAATAGACACCTCATTGAGACTACACACACTCTTCTCATTCAATCTTATGTCCAGCTGCACTTTTGGGGTGACGCAGTCCTCACATTTTGCTATTTAATTCATTGAATGCCCTCATCTTCTATTCGGAATCAGATTCCTTGTTCCATATTGTTTCCATATTCACCTTTATATTCTACCCACCTCATCTCTCTAAGAGCACATGTTTTTTTCATAACTTAGCCCCGAAGAAAGATAAGCTAGTCTCTCATGTTGTCAAATGTGTAATTCCTGGTCATTCTAGGGTTCAAAGAGTGCATCGTTGCTACTCAAGTGATCTTCGTCGATATTTTGTTAAGCCACATTTTTTTGAGTTTCAACCTAACTTTACATGTTTCGATCATCATGCTATCTCTAAGGTCTTACCGATGCTAACTTTTGAGGAATCTATGGTTACTTCTACATCTCCATCCATATTGTTACAAACCCTGACTTATCATTGTTGTCCGCGTCCACCATTAGGCCCAGTTGATTCATGTCACAAACCTTGCACCTACTAAGGACTTGCCTTCTTCTAGTCAATGATGAGGGATGTGCATCCGTCGATTCGATATTTATGTTATCGGCTCAATTTATCGGTTTTTTATTTTTAAATCCAGTAAACCAATAAGATATTTTTTATTAGTTCTTGGTTTTTCGGTTTTTGGTCCTTTCAGTTTGGTTATCGGTTTACATAATGCCTATAAAATAGAAACACAAGTAACTAACATGAAAAAACTATGCAAGTGCAACACAAATAAAAGAACAAAGAAAATAATGTGGAACTAAAGGCAAAATGGCAGAGGTAGTAACCAATCAGTACCTAATATTTATATAGGGTAAAGAAGTAAATTACTAGAGTCTTAATAGGTTATCGATTTACCCAATCACCCGATATTAAAAAAACAAATCCAAACACATACTAATTTTTTTTTTTACAAACCATGACAAACTCCTTAACCCAATAATAGACTAATGGTAAACGGTAAACCGATAGCATTTTTTCTGGTTCGATTTTTGCACACCCCAACAATTAATTGCACTTCAAAAAGGTAAACAATCTACTAGTAATGCTAACAGCCATTATACTCTTTCGAGTTACCACCTTCTTAGTTATACGGGAGGTCACTTTATATGGTCTTTGAGCAATCCTCTCGTCTTGAGCTAGTGTTTAGGGTTGACTTAGACTCAAAGTCCATTTAACATTTCAACTTCTAAATTCATGTAAAAACTGCTTGGTGCATCAAAATTTTGAAATACAAATAACTTTTACGGAAAAAAAGAAGAAGTAGAAAAGTCCATCACCTATTGGATCTTTGATGATGTCATAATAATCAGGAACATCCCGTGCATCAACGGGTTCTTTGAAAGGCCAGGAATCGGGATGGTCATGCATTATCTGCACAGGAGGAAAAAACTCAGTAAAGATGTGCCTATTTAACTAAAGAAGTAGTCAATTAAAGTCGTGCTAGCTGGCCTTTGTGCACCAAAAGCTTATATAAAGCAAGCAAGAGTTAGAAGCTTGGGTGGTCACTCAACTTTGGTAATTGGCCTTCATAGTAAACTTTGTTTTGTTACCCAACTCACTCAACTTTGCCAAGTTAGCTTCTATAGTCATTATTTCAAAAAAATAATTTATGATACATATTTAGTGATGAGGCAACTATAAATTTTTAGAAAAAGGGAAAACAAGAGTTTTACTTTCAGGAGTGAGCGCATGAATGCAGTCAAAGACTTCTGATCTGACAAGGAGTTTACTGTTTTGAAACGAGAATGACCATATTGATCAGGAGTCCATCCAGCCTCTCCTATTAAGATGTCAACAGCAAATTCCCATAAGAAATTTAAGATTATTGGAGCACAAAAAGAATACAGCTTAAGGTAAGTAATAAGGACTCAGATCACACTTATAAAGAGCAGAGTTTAGAAATTCTACATATCCATAAGAAAAATAGAAACTAAGAAAAATGAAATAAAGATGGAGAGAACTTACTCAAGCCAGGGATATCCTCAACCTTGATAGCCTTTTTGGGAATGCCAGCTTCCTTCTAAATAAGTTAGTCAAGATTAGTGAACTTCAAAATCCAACAGTTTCTTCACGATAGCAGCAAAACATAGTATTGCAACATCAGACCAATCCAGTTACAAAGAAAACAATGTCCATATGAGACCATATCTGCAATCGAAAGGATTTGAAATGCCTCTCAAATAAAAGAAGATATTTCTGAGATACTGTCTTTTGTCCTCGGAATTTTTTACATGATCCGTTGACAAGTTAACAAGTCTAAAAGAACCATTTCCCATTAATGAATTTCATTTTGCAAACCAAAAACTAGTCATTTACAGATTGATATTACAACTTACTAAAACTAGAAAATGATGGCAAAGATACTATGATTTGTTAGAATATCAATGTATGTAGTGTCCTAAATGGATATGGATTGCATGTAATGTGTGAAATATTGCTGAAAAGCATGACGTGGATCCCCAACAGGCCGAAGCTCGTCTTCAAGAAAGTGATAAGCCTCCTTTCTTGTTTGAGTAAGGGGATCATTAATAATAAAGGAATAATTCTCTTCTTCAAGCATTAAGTTAAGGACTTTGTCTTGGACAAGGCCTTTCTCTCCAATCCCTGAAGTTTGAAATAGTCTTGATTATAAATCGAGCGAAGGTTCACCCCTCATCCTGGGGGATTGGGGGGTTGAGACTTCCTTGCTCTTAGGCCCACCGTAAGGCCGATAAGATCAGAAGGGGAATGGATTCTGCCTTTTATCCAGACTAACTCTAATCATGATTTTGACACTATATGATACATCTCCACAAATAGGTATTAGTGTGCTCACTGTAATAATAGCGATACACATCTTAATAATATTTTTTCCCATGTCTTTACTTCTCACATGGTATGAGAGCAACAACGAGAACCATCTGGGGAAAAACAAATCCATTGCAATGCATTTTTCTGGTGACTCTTCAGATCTAACTTGTGACATGTTACTTTCTATTAGAGTTGTGCGAAAACAAATACCATCACAGGCTCCCCCACTCACCAACGACAAACCCAGTCAACCCTTCTGGTAGACAACCCTAAATGTGCTCTCACATACCTCTCGGAGCTCTGACGCCGACAACGCTTTTGACACATGTGCCACCACATGAAGCCCTTTCCAGCTACTCTTCAAGTTGTTTTTCTTCTAGTGCGTTCTTATCGTAATTCTGAGAAGTTCCCTCCACTTTAATGTAGATTCTAGTCGCCTGAACCCTATTCCTGATTTCATCAAGTGCATATCAGGGAAAGCAGGGGGATTCTTTACACCTATTGTGCAGATCACTATTTGTATGACAAGGAATTTTGCCACTCAAATATGTGTCTTGCACCCTACTCTGAGCCCTGGTCTGAGTTGGTTGTCCTCCTATTTCTGACCCCACCCACAAGGTTTCATTGCACATCAGCCAATAGAATAGTATTTTTCGGTGTTACAGTGAGTTTTAACGCTTTTTCACAATCTTTAGTTGGTTATTACTAGATATCTCTTTGATTCAACATGTTTTTCGTGGTCGATATTTTTGGCTCCAAAAATATAGAAATTGAAAATTCAAGCGTTATGATTATGTCAGAACCCTTACTGGGAAATCCAAACTAGTTAGCTTGGGCTTCCTTGGATGAGTTTTGGTGCTAGGGCAAAGATGTCCGAGATCACTTAAGGAAAAAAGCTAGTTCAATTCATGAAAAGGACCAAAGGACAGTACGAGAAGGTTGATGCTTAATTATATAGTATCTTGTGGCGATCTATAGGTTCCAAGTTGATGCCCTTGTTTCGTCTATCCAACACATGTTATTCAGTTTGGGAAAAGGCTCACGCTATATACAGTCATGACATATCTCATTCTTATGACATGATATCTCAGATGACACACTTGAAGAAAAAAAATTGGACTTGTCTACTTACTTGGGACTGGTATAAGCAAACATGGAGGAATTTGATAGGTTGATACAGTCACAACGAACATTGAAAAACAACATAAGCGAAGACGAACATTGTTTCTAGTACTTACACTTGATAGACTTCCTAATGAACTTGATTTCATGTGTGATAAGATTTTGGCTAATCCAACGGTTCCTACAATTGATGAAATGTTCTCTCAATTACTTTGGCTTGTCACGCCATTCAATCACATCATGGACTTATCACCAACCATTGACTCCTCGCTCCTCCAATCTCAAATAACAGATAATCGAGCATCCTGATCTATGAAGATTGACAAGGATTCCATTTTGGAAGATTTTGTCCCAAGTGTAGTTATTGTAATAGGCTTGGATACACTCTTTAAGTAGGTCAACATGTAACAAGAGGTCTTCTATATCTAAAGTAAGTATAATGAGTTTCTTCATTATCAAGCTAGTAAGCAGACATCAAACAAGTAGTCTCGTTTGCTCAGTCTTTTACTTCAGTAGTTGGTAATTGTTTTTCTTGTGTTTCAAAGTCTAATGCGGTAATGCCCTAGGACGGTAGATCATGGACACAAGCACTTCTTATCATATGTCCAACAATACATCACTTTTATCAAATATTATTTATTCACAATTTCTTCCAAATGCTACTTTAGCCTATGGGATCCAAATAAGAGCAAAAAGAGTTAGCGAGCTAATCCTCCATTACTCTAAACTTTGTTCTTTGTCCCTAGAAGTCCTAGTTTAGTATTTGTCATTTGTTTTGTTATAGAATGTATATAGACTTGATTCCTAATATAATACATAGCCTTATTTAGATAGTAGATTTGTAGGAATTATCAGATTTACAGGATTCGTCTTTTATTTCTTTCCTAACTTAGCACACAATTTATCTTATTATACATTGCTTACCTATTGGAATAAGATATCTTCTTCCCTCTGATATGATTACATGGTATTAGAGCCTATAGGCTCAATTCATATTCAGAAATTGGAAACTCTTCGTAGTCTCTATTCATATTCAGAAATTGGGAACTCTTCTCTGTCTATTCGAGAAAGAACTGATCATTTCACTCATCTCCGGCGTCGCCTTTTATCTGTTCAAGCGCATCTTGAGTTTTCTCTGGTGTTTAAAACACTCTTTGGGGAGTTTTCATTTCTAGGTTATTTTCTTCCTTGTAACTTATGCGACTTCAATTTGGTATTCATCTTTTGTGCTTCTGCGGCTGCACTTCTTCTAGGATTCGAATTATTGTTGGATGTGTGGGTTGCTTGTGGTGGTTATCCCTGGTTTCTTTGTTCTTTGTTGTTGCTGTTGGGGTTGGGATTTGTAACTCTAGATTACACACCACAATCTACTGGAAATTTTCCATTTTATTCTATTTTACGTTTTGATATTGATTTTCTCTAAAAATTTGTTGAACATTGACGTTGTGTCTCTGTGATTGGGCTACATGTTTGTTCCTCTTTTAGCCTTTCAGATTATTCTATAGATACTGTCTCTGCATTTCTCTTCATTTAACTGCTGAAGTTGAAACTAAGAATGTACGAAAGTTAGAGAGGAAGCAATCACAAAACTCAAGCAACTAATGTTGTTACTAGTCAGTCTTCTAATAATATGGCTTTGGTTTCTACGAAGAAATTTGCACATCATAAAAAATCATTGATGGGATCCAATTCTGTTAATGCATTTTCTGAGACAGATAAGATATGCCTTATTACCTCTTCAAATAAATGGGTTATTGATTCGCGTGCCACAAATCACATGACTGGGAATCCTAGTATTTTCTCTAGCTTTCGACCACACAATCACCATCTCCAGTTACTGTAGTGGTAACTTGCAATAGTGTTGGATCTGGGACTGTCAAACCAAAATCCTCTATTACCTTGTTATCTGTATTAAGTCTACCAAAGTTAGCCTTTAACTTGATTTATGTCAGCAAAATTACTAGAGATCTGAATTGTTATATTTCGTTCTTTCCAAATTATTGTTTGTTTCGTGATCTTACGACAAATCAAGTTATTGGTAAAGGACATGTATCTGATGATATATACATCCTTGATGAATGGGAGTCTCGATTAGTTGCCTTCTCGAGTATTGTGTCTCCATTTGAAGCACATTGTCGATTGGGACACCCTTCTCTGCCTTTTCTTGAAGAATTTGTCCTCAATTTCAAAATATTCCTTCATTAGAATGTGAATCATGTCGATTTGCAAAACATCATCGCAGTTCAATGGGTCCAAGGGTTAATAAGCAAGTTGAGTCAGCTTTTGAATTAGTTCATTTTGATGTTTGGGGACAATGTCCTGTCGTTTCTAGAACAGGGCATAAGTATTTTGTCACGTTTGTGGATGATTTCTCTCGGATGACTTGGATTTATTTCATGAAGAGTCGCACAAAAGTGTTAACCCATTTTTGTGCCTTCTATGCTGAAATCAAAACTCAATTCAATGCTTCAATATGTATTCTAAGAAGTGACAACGCTAAAGAATGCATGTCAGAATTGTTTTAGTCATACACAAGACAAAACAATATTCTTTACCGATCTTCGTGTGTTGACACACCCTCTCAAAACGGCGTTGCTGAGAGAAAAAAAGGCACCTACTTGAGACAGCTCAAGCACTTTTGTTCCAAATGAAGGTTCCTAAGCAGTATTGGGAAGAGGCGGTCTCTAAGGCTTGTTTTCTGATAAACTGCATGCTGTCAACTGTGCTTGTTGGTAATATGCCTAACAATGTTTCTTTTTCCAAACAAGTCACTATTTCCGGTGTGACCCTAAGGTGTTTGGGAGCACATGTTATCTTTGAGATGTTCGACCATCTGTTTTCAAGTTAGATCCCAAGGCATTAAATTGTGTTTTTCTAGGATATTCTTGCCTTCAGAAAGGATATCGGTGTTACTCTATAGAACTCGGCATATATCTTGTGTCAACTAATGTGGTATTTTCAAAGACCACCATTTTTCTATGCACCTCCCATTTCTACTAATTAGGGGGAGGAAGATGAGTGGTTAGTCTATGAAGTTACTCGTTTAGTGACAAAACAATCAGATGACGTGGCTCTCCCATCCCCTACATCTATTGAGCAGGAATCGAC